AAGCGCGAGAATGGCAATTGTCTTCATGAAGAAAATTCAACAATGAGTGCAAGGTTTGGGGGGCCCTGTGTATAGGGGGGCGGTGTGGACTTCTTTTGCGATCACATTTGGAGACAAGTATATCAGTCTGCGCCACTAGTATAATACATCCATTACTTTGCGAATAAGTTTTGAGAAAATATGAAATTCTTGGCACAGAACATACCAAAAGATCGGTCATGATTTATTGTGATACAAATCTGAAATGTAGCTCAATGAAACGTCAAAGGTGGCGTTTTATATTCTCTTGTAACATGTTAGAGCAATCAGCATTAAAATACTCGTTCTCCAGCTACTGGAATTTGAAGTCATGGCCAAAACTTGACAAAAAACAGTGTCAATAATTGATGCATTACCTTGCTGTATCTTTGTTCAGTCTGTTTTTCACGTTTAGTCGCAAAGTAATCATTATCCTTGCAAGTGTGTCATGAGGTGACACACTTGTATGGATATTGATTATGAACGAGCCAATTAATTATTCATTTCTCGATGACCAAGATGCTACTTCCAGTGTGATTGGCCGTCCCACCATTTCTGAGCATAGTGTGATTTCCAACATGGCTTATGCATCGTATTTTTGTTTTACCATAGTCACCTTCAGTTTACTGTTAAACACTTTTCGGCAAAGGTATCTTATACTAGTGGCGCAGACTGTAGTACTGTACGTCATCAGAATTGACTATTTGGTCTATTTGATACCTTTGCCGAAAAGTGTTAAGAGTAAACTGAAGATGAATATGATGCTCGTCACCTATAAACTACCAACTTTTCACAAAATTTTCTGACTTTTATTTCATATTCATTACTCAAAATTTCAGCAAATTGAGACGTAGAATCTCAATGTGGTGAAGAAATTCTACGTCTCATATTCAAATTTGGTGATGAATTGCTCCAGAAATAGATATTTAACCTAGTGGTAATTTACATGGGCGCATGGATATTTGGCCATAGGGGTGGCCGCTGAGATGTATCTTGATTTTGGTATGTGACTCATATCCGTATGTAAGATCCGGAGGCAGTTGGGACCTTTAACCTCCCACTGCAGTGATAAAACGCATAAAATCGGTATTTAACGTTTTGGTGTTTTGGTTTAACTACATTAATTGTACGTTAAATAATAAAACCTCCACTCTTCGATTTGGCCAGTTGGAAGTTTTTAGATGACGTGCATCATATCTGAAGATGAATAGGTCACCAAATCAAACGATTTTGCCTAGCTGGCAAAACGCGATGCCGCGCTCCACGACCAAGCATGACTTGCCCGACAACGAACGACTCAGTATGTGCCACGAACTGCTGGAGAACAAGCAGAACGGCCGTCTAGCCAGCGGCGAGGCCAAGGAGATCCTCCTCAAGTATGGCATGTCAAGGCAGATGTAGTCGAAGGTCTGGACGCGCGGTCAACTCTCCAAGGCCCAGTCAGGACTAGCCGACGTGGCATTGAAGAGGAAGGGTCGAGCGGGGCGTCGGTCATCGCGTACCATCGCACAAATCGAGTCCGCCATAAAGAATGTCCCAACGCATATGCGCAGAACCTTTGCGTTGTTGACGTCTTCTAGTGGCATGCGCGCGTGCTCCAGTCGAAGAAGTTGGTGCGTCGTACAAACCGACTGAAACCCATGGTCACGCAAAAGCACAAGGCAGATCGCGTAGCTTTCGTCCGTTGCATTGTTCGCAAGTCGCCACGAGCTCCGATGCGGTGGCACCAAATGCACGACGCATCGACATTGACGAGAAGTGGTTCTATTTCACGTTGATCAACCACCGATGCTATCTCTCGTACGATGATGTCGTACCTTTCCGCAAGTGCAAATGCACGACCTCACGTCTAGGTCGACGACCCTGCCGTGGTTGCTGCCGGGCGGTCGGATGGTTGTGCCAACTTGTGGCACAACCAGCAACGAGCCTGACTTCAACGTTCTGGATCTCGGGTTCTTAAACTCAATCCAAGCAATACAACACCGTCAAGTCGTCACTGGAATCGATGACCTGGTTGCCGCCGTACATGGGGGATTCAACGAATTGGATTGGCGAATCCTGGACAAGACTTTAGTGAGAGTCATGGAGGAGTCGATGAAAATGGCCGGTGACAACTCGTACAAGTTGTCGCATCAGAGCAAGGACAAGATGGCGAGCTGGACCCACCGCCCCTTCAGTGTGCGATCCTGATGTAGTCACTGTCATCGAAGCGATGAATGCTCGAAAGGACTTCGAACGTAGAGTAGATAACCTTTCTAGTGTGTTGGCAACATGTGACATTGAGGGTGTGATCAATACATCAAATATTTATCACCTCTGCACAATTGTCCATGATGTGACGATATGATGCAGCATATTATGTTTCTTCTCGTCGTAAAATCAATTTTGTGAATAAAATTACACTTTTTCGTCTCAGAGATCATACAAAAGATAAGATAAAAATTTGTCTCCAGATTTATGGAATGGAGGAAGTATATCTTTTTCATGAAGATTTCCAACAGCAACATCCTACGCGGTCGCCAGCTCGCCGAGCTTTTCTTTACTCGGAATACCCCTGGCAGTACGAACTGGACATGCCAGTGTGAACATGTGTGAGCGCTTCTTTTCGTCTACTACTGTAGTACCAAGTTGGCCATCGGAGACCGACGTTGCAGAATGACCCCGAAAAGTTTCGAGGAACAAATGTTTTTGCATGCTAATACTATTAATAGTATCAACATTTAAACGTCCAAGAAATGATGCGCTCCGTTGATTAAGGTAGTTCTTAATCTCGTTTGATATTACATGCTTTGCATATAATTGTGTTTGAATTATTCAAGTAAATTATTCATGTTAGCGGAGGCGGGGGAATGAATAATTCATTGCAGGACAGAGTGAATTAGTATGACGCAAGTCATGACGGCAAATAAGTAATTCTCTGCCTCGGACATCAAGAATAAATATGAATAAAAAACTGGTCACAACTGCCCACAACGCAAGGATATCAACCGCGAGTGCCACACGGCCAACGACGAGTAATCAAGACGTTGAAAGCTGGCGAGTACGCGGACAGCAAATTCTACAATTGTTTTCCCACGTCGGAGCAAACCTTCGAGTACGTGGATGCGTTGGTAGCGCAGAACCCAACTTTGTTGACAAAAGAAGCGATTTCGACCAAGGCAAGACTATATACGCGTACAAATTGACCACCGGCGCGTCCAAGCCCAAACAAGCAACAGATTAGACAACCTTATTGACTATGAGTCACACAACTCACATTCATTAAGGTTGTCTACCGGTAATCTCATTCCAATTGATCATTTCAACTTTTCGACTTGTTTTATTGGCTAGAACGATATGCCTTCTAACTGTAAGGTACCACCAAATCATTCTCAATTGGCACCATACAGTAATTTGGGTACAACTCGACAAGGCAAAATCGTTGGTTTTACCATATTCATCTTCAGTTTACTGTTAAACACTTTTCGGCAAAGGTATCAAATAGACCAAATAGTCAATTCTGATGACGTACAGTACTACAGTCTGCGCCACTAGTATAAGATACCTTTGCCGAAAAGTGTTTAACAGTAAACTGAAGGTATGGTAACACAAAAATACGATGCATACCCAAGCCATGTTGGATCACACTATGCTCAGAAATGGTGGGACGGCCAATCACACTGGAAGTAGCATCTTGGTTATCGAGAAATGAATAATTAATTGGCTCGTTCATAATCATTATCCATACTAAGTACAGGTGTCGTCATTTCCCGCAGCCTCCTGTCTCCAAGAGGTAACGAATCCGAACAACATGTGCTTGGTCTCGTTGAATCTTCAATCATTACGTTCTCTTGCCTGTCTCATCCAACAGATGAAGATACATAGTCCCTCGGATGGACGACAAAAAATGGCCTCTGCAAGCGTGTCACCTCATGACACACTTGCAAGGATAATGATTACTTTGCGACTAAACGTGAAAAACAGACTGAACAAAGATACAGCAAGGTAATGCATCAATTATTGACACTGTTTTTTGTCAAGTTTTGGCCATGACTTCAAATTCCAGTAGCTGGAGAACGAGTATTTTAATGCTGATTGCTCTAACATGTTACAAGAGAATATAAAACGCCACCTTTGACGTTTCATTGAGCTACATTTCAGATTTGTATCACAATAAATCATGACCGATCTTTTGGTATGTTCTGTGCCAAGAATTTCATATTTTCTCAAAACTTATTCGCAAAGTAATGGATGTATTATACTAGTGGCGCAGACTGATATACTTGTCTCCAAATGTGATCGCAAAAGAAGTCCACACCGCCCCCCTATACACAGGGCCCCCCAAACCTTGCACTCATTGTTGAATTTTCTTCATGAAGA